AAATAATTTACCTCATTAAGAAATTCATCAGAAATATTCTGTGAATTATGTAGTTTTTTTAATGCCACAGTCCTATCATTACTAATTCTTTTACTTTCATAAATACATTTATAACCATTTAACCAAGTAGCTTTGTATATAGTTGCAAATTCACCTTCACTGATCTTCTTAATAATTGTTAAATCATCATAAGGAATCCATTGAAGATAATCATCATTATGATATCTTGTTGCCTTAAGTTGTGTGCTTTTAATAAACTTATTTAATGTTTCATTGCCACTAGTCCATCCTTCAGTTAACAACTTTGGATCACATGATTGACACCATAAATAACTAGTATTATATTTATTGCAAGTTGGACATTCTCCATTTCTTTCTTTTCTTTTATCAGAATATTCATCATTTTTGTCAGTAGAAGTGTTGTCATGATGTTTATTTTCATCCAAAATGGTTTCCATCGTGGTTTTTGTATGTCAAAAAAAAAATTTTTTTTTAAAGAACTTTTTTTTTTCAGCCACAAATATGTATCACAAAAAATATATTAATTAATATTAAATACAAAATTTTACCTGAACTATGACAATTCAGCATTGACACCCTAAAGTTGTAAAACTGTAATAAATATTGCAGGCATGCAATCAGAGTTATTGGAGTCACCAAATTTGGAAAACTAAATTAAAATCACTACATACAACTATACTGCTTGATTAGCATTAGAGTTTCTATTTGAATAAGGGTTTATTCGAATCATTTGTTTTACACATTATGAAATTGAGTATTTGAATTACATTGAAGTTTATTTGAATAAAATAATAATTTGTGTAAAATGAATAATTAGAATAATTCAAATAAAACGAATAACTCAAATATTTCAAACAAAATGAATAATTTGAATATTTCAAACAAAACAAATAAATGAATAGTATGAATAAAATGAATAAACAAATAGTTCAAATAAATGAATGACAATAATTTGAATAATAAAATGAATAAATGAAATAAAATGAATAATTCAAGCAAAACAAATAGTTTGAATAAACAAATGATAAAAATTCAAATAATAAACAAATGATGATAATTCAAAGAATAAATGAGTGATAACTATTTGAATAATAAACAAATGATACAAATTGAATAATAAATGAATGATGATAACAATTCAGATAATAAACAAATGATACAACTCAAATGATAAATGAATGATCTCAATTCAAATAATAGACGAATGATAACAATTCAAATAGATGAATGATAACAATTCAAATAAACAAATGATGATAATTCAAATAATAAATGAATGATAACAATTTGAATAATAAATGGATGATACAATTCAAATAATAATATAAACAAATGATATATTTCGAATAATAAATGAATGATGTCAATTCGAATGATAAACGAATGATGATAACAATTCAAATGATAAATGAATGATGTCAATTTAAATGATAAACAAATGATGTCAATTTAAATGATAAACAAATGATGATAAC